AGGTACAAATATATGTACAGATATATGATATGAATATCTTGAGATACAAAAGAAATTTTTATGTGATTTATTACCTTAATAAATAGAGCCGTAATTACCTAATTGTATTTTTAAAAATACCATAAAGTGATTAAATAGTTTTTAGTAAACAACATTTCCTTTTTTTTTTTTAAAAAAAAATTACTATTTAATTCAGGAGGTGCAAAGCACAGTGAGCAACCCCAATCCAAAACCGTCTCCGTCCCACTCTTCTACTTCTGTTTGCTCTGCCCGCGGTAGTGAACTGAATCACAAAGCCTCCATTTGCGTTGTATTGCCCTATTTACTTGGTTGCGACCGATAGCCTCTCTCCTCCTGTTACTCTTCTTCTTTCTGTCTCTACGGCGAAATGGTGGTTAGAGAACACGACGATTTGCCGGAGAAGTGGTATTCTCGATCGATCAAAATATACACGCATACAAGATTTTTTTTTTTTTTTTTTATTGATATTCCTCTCTGTGGTTCATTTTCTTGCATATTATCTGATAGAGTTTCTGGTTTGTGTGACCAATTTATTTTTCCCTTGTGTAGTTTGGAATTTGACAAACAAGCTCTTTCCGCCCCCGTGAAAACTGCAGTTGAGAAGTTCCAATTAGTCCCTGAGTTCTTAAAGGTATAAATAATACTTTCTAATCCTAAAATTGATCTTATTGGCCATGTCGTTCTTTTTGAGTGTTTCTCAGTGTGAATTCTCTCTTGAAAGATTCAAATTGAATGATGTATATATACATATATATATATTTTGGAATTAAGGAGACATAAGTGTCTTGTGGTATTCAGATTATCCGGCAGATGCTAGAGTTGTATTACTTCATTCTTTGTTTTTTCATTTTGTTTTATCTTTGATCTCATTTGTCGTTTAATTTTTAGAATTTGAGTAGCTTTCTCATTTTTTCCCTTCAAATGTAACGCGTGCAAATATAACTGTAGTTTACATACAAATAGTGAATTGTAAATATCAAAGGATTTGACAGGGTAGCTACTGTATCTGAATGTGGTGGTGATTTTTATTTATTTTTTATTTTCTTATCTCTCTATTTATTTCATATATTAAGAAGGTTTCGAGTTTGCTAAGGATATTAACTGCTACTTAATCTGCAAACGTAGGTGAGAGGACTCGTCAAACAACATTTAGATTCCTTTAACTATTTTGTGAGGACGCAGATAAAAAAGATTGTTCAAGCCAATGACCTCATCACCTCTAAGATCGACCCAAATATTTATTTGAGGTGACAATTTTAATTTGCACCTGTAATTTTGTGTTCAGCTTTTCCTAAGAAGTTCTTTATGGTTATATCTTCTTTTCATATTGTCTACATTTTGAAAGCTGATTTTTTCTACATTTCCATGTAATTGAATGCAGATATAAAGATGTTCGAATTGGTGAACCATCTTTGTTAGCAGATGGTTCAGTCGATCAACTTAACCCCCAAAGGTGCCGCCTTTCGGACCTTACGTAAGTTTCCGTTATCTACTTCTCCATCTTATATACAGAGGCCTGTGGGAGGATATTGAACTTCTAATTATGCTGAATATGTGCGAATCTAAAATATGGCATGTGAGTTTGTTTTATTGACTCAGTCGAGCCCAGAAAACTTGCCTGGTGTTTGGAGAAAAGAAAATACCTTGTGAGGGTTTATTTTGGTATAAGAGGTGTTTGAGTGGAATGTCCTATGAGATGCTTTCCCTAAGTTATATTTCTGACTTCATATAATGTATTTCATTCAAAATGAGTGGGATGGAAAAAGAAAAAAAAATTGTAGCAGATTTTTGATATAATATAAGTTTCGAGATCCTGATTTTGCTATGTGGGATGTATTTATTTTTTCCCCTCAAGGAGTTTCAATATGGAACATTGAACATAAGGCGTTATAAACTTTTGAGTTCTGAGACGTGACAACTTTTTGAATGTTTTCAGCAACATTTTATATATATCTTTTCTGCCTTGTAGTATAGAGACTTTTCTAAAGCCCTGATATTGCTGAAACTAATATACGCAATAAGGTTATATTGGAGTGCAGATAGCCTAGCTGAATAAGGAAGCATCTATAATTGAAGTTGTACCATTCATTTGTTATTCAATTGTTTAATTTTTTATTTCATGCATAGTTGATATAGAGAAGCCTTGTTGCCCTTTTTGATTTTGTTCTGCTTGAAATGAGAAATCACTTTATTATAATCTCATCACATTTCTTACTGTCCTTTTAACTACTTTTGTTTTGCTGTTGAATTTCAGTTATGCTGCTCCAATATACGTGAACATTGAATATATTACAGGAAGCCATGGTTCACAGTCAATCCAAACAAAGGTGATTGCATGTTAGATCTTGTTAATTTGTGAAACGTTTCTTGTCCTGCGAAAACATGGCCAATTATGATTCTTGACTCCTATTTATCGATATATCTGTATATGTATATATAAATAAGTATATATATATTTATTTAAATATATAGACTTATTTAAACTTATATATATACATATATATTATATATCTATATATTTATTTATTTATATTTCAGAAAGATGTCATCATTGGGAGAATGCCTATCATGTTAAGAAGTTGTCGTTGCATCTTGTATGGGAAGGATGAAGAAGAACTTGCAAGACTTGGTATCTCTTCTCAATTTCACCGTGGATTTTCATTTTCCTTTGTTATCACAGAGCAAGCACAATTTGCTGGTGTTTTATTGTCACTTTGTTGTTCTAAGTTCTTTATCCTTTCCCTTAGGTGAATGCCCACTCGATCCTGGGGGGTACTTTGTCATTAAAGGAAATGAGAAGGTGATACTTCAATAATTTATTAATAATTCTTATTTCTTGTTTACGATAAGTGGTTGATTATAACTATGACGCCATGAAGATTTGCCTTCTAATTTTGGTTTATTGTGTAAGTTAGATGTCTGAGACGGCATGATTGACTTCTTATCAAGGGGTTTAGGCATTTTTTATCTGTCTGAGATATTGTTAGAGATGGGAGCCATGCCTTGTTGCTTATATACTTTTTCTTGTTTTCATTTCTTTTATGAATTTTTACATCCTTCTTGTGTAACGTACCCCCTTCCTCTAAAATTTTCATTTCTTAATAAGCTGATAAAATTGAGAATCTGTTACATCTAACATCTTAGTTCACCAGATAAAGTGATGATGGTCTAGAGCCAATAACACATTTCTTCACCGTTTTTTCTGATAATTAGAACACATTTTGGTCTATGAAGTTTAAACATACTTCATAAGTTAGGGTAATCAATGAGAAATTATGCAGCTAGTTTCTTGTAAGATACTATAATGTGAAAGAGATTGGATATTGTTTGTGTGATGGGTTCCTTTCGGGATTTAGATATCTGAGTGTGTACCTCAGATGATATAGGGTGTTCTGTACTCCAATGCACAGATGCAGCCATTTAAATATCCGTACAGTCGAAGGTCTTGTTTTTTACATGGTTATAGCATTTGAGAATTTGGTGCTGGTAAAAGGTTAATTATAAAATTGTGTTGCTCACGTGGTTGAAAACATTGATTTATGTGGTCATCTTATTAATATAGTGGAAGCCTCTTTTCTTGTTGGATATTGGAAGTGAGAGTTACTTAAATACCGTATTTGCTGGTTGGGCCGGGTTAAAATAGAATGATTGTGTTTCTTACTTTTATCGTATGTTTCCTTGGTATTTTAGTTTTGTAAGCTTTTCCTGTTATTAATAATGTGTGTGTGTGTGTGGGTTTTTTTTTTTTTTTTTTTTTTTTTTTTTTTTTTTTTTTTTTTGTTTTTTCATTCAGAATATCAGCTCCCATGTTTACAAGAAATCACCTTTAGTTAAAACACAATATTTGTGAAAAATTATTTTTGCCCCACACCGATCAGGCACTGGGCTGTTATCTTTTGTAACTGTGGGTTGAGCACCCTATGAGCTAGCTTTTGGGGATGAGTTCTACCTAGGCCTATTTCTCAGTAGTTTTGCTAGATAGCTGTTGGCCAGGTTTTTTAGTTTATCTCATGGTCCTTATTCTCATATCTTCTTCCAGGTGATTTTGATACAAGAGCAACTTTCAAAGAACAGGATAATCATTGATACTGATAATAAAGGATGGTGAGCTTGTCTTTTTTTCCTCTAAAAAATTCTTTATGTTCATTTGCGAGCCTACGGTGCCTTTTCAGGTTGACATTCTATTTTATACACAGTGCAGTAATTTTAATTGAACAACATATTGGTTAAATAAACTTTGTTTTTTAAGGTTATGTATGTGTAAGTTTGTTAGACAATCGGGACGTTCTGTGAATAAAATAGATAATAGCTCTATATACAAATTGTTGATGTAAGATAAATATGAATCCTGTTTCTGTTTTTCATAGTAATTGTACGACACATAGCCATAGGACAAATTGTGGACTGATTTTTGCATTAGATAACTAGATAAGTCAGCCATGGGAAGCATGGGTCTATACTTTGCTTGTACTTTGTCCAATGAGATCGAATTGTGTCCTCATTTTGTCCTTGATAGAGTTTTTGTATTAATAATGCCAGTTTTATCCATGGCAGATCGCGGCAAGGTCAAAATCTACCATATTCCAGTATATGTAATTTTATATTTCTTAAGTTCCATAAGAATTTGCGATATGTATGATTACCTATAATCCACATTTTCATAAATTGCTAATAACTTTATTTTCGACAAGTGTAGAACTTCATGGTAACGACATAATGATAAGAGAATAATTACAGCAGAACCAAAAAAATAAAACAAAAAAAAGGAAAAAGGGAATGTAACATAGGAAAAAAGAATTGAAACTCACAGCCAAAAAAAGTAAAAAGTTAATGGTTGTAAGGATGGTTTTCCTCATGATTATTCACATGAACAACGTGCCTGCCGGTTAGAACAATTGATTCTGATTCCTTGAGATCTTGATTCATTGTCTTTTATTTCTTAGTATATTATAATCAGTGTTTTATAAGTCGCTAGGGGCCCACTAGGTGCTCAACCAACGCCTAGCGCCGCCTAGGAGGGGTCTAGAAACTAAGATTAAATACCTTATTTTTTATTTATTTATACTACTTACAAAATAAAACTATCTCAACGATAAATTCACACACCTAAGTCCAAATAATAATGTTAATATATTATAAAGAAAACATGATAAAAAAATAATGTAATTAATATTTAAAAAATATAAAAAAATTGAAAATTTTCTGCCGAGCCCGCCTATCCGCCTGGCCGATTTTTTCAGCCGATTCATGCAAATCGGTGGCGGCTGGGCGGCCGCCTAAGCCGATTTTTAGTACAATGCCTATAATTGTAATAGTTCAATATGAATACGAAGTTGGTTGTGGTTTGTTAAGTAATGATTTAGAACAAGAGCTTTATATAACGTTATATTCCTGCCGGTGATATCAATATATTGACCGTTGGAGTTTGCAGTTTTTCTCCCTGGGGCTCTATAACATCGTTTACTGTGTCTCAGTGTGCAAGCATCTGTGACAAGTAGTACGGAAGCAACAAAAAGCAAAACAGTTATAAAGATGGAGAAAGAAAAGATCTATCTGTACCTAAATCAGTTTTCAACCAAGGTTACTATGCTACTCATGAACACTCTATTTGTCCCTATCTGCAAACTCTATATTCTGGCTATCTTACGTCATGTTTTTTATTATCTTTTAGGTCCCTATCATGATTGTCCTGAAAGCTATGGGTATGGAAAGCGACCAAGAGGTTGTCCAGATGATTGGAAGAGACCCTCGGTATAGTCAACTGCTATTGCCTTCTATTGAGGTACACAATCTGATTTAGGTTGTAGAAGAAAGTCTTGAAAATATGTTTAGTTATATTGGTCTTTTAAGGCGTAGTGTATTTCTCATCGGGTTTCTCAACTAAAATCATCATTTCTTGGTTGGAAAGAAAGTGGTGCTAAAAAAGCCTGGACTGTAAAGCATGTAATATAGTTAGTTTTGCTCGTAAATCCTGAAATTTTACTTTGCTGTGTTGGTATCAGGATTGTGTGAAGGATGGTATACATACCCAATCTCAGGCACTGGAGTTCCTTGAACAGAAGGTTTTGATCTTTTCCCAAAATTTAAATGTGTAGTATCTGAGCAGTAGCTTTCCCCTAGAATTAAAAGTTATATAATCATAATAGTTTTAAGGTCCTGCTAATTGCTGTACTGTATATGCAACGAATTTGAACATGAGAGGTGTGATTCTGTTCTAATCAGATGGGACATTTTTATCAATATTTTTTTTACTGATTATGTTTCATGTTTGCAGGTTAAGAAGTCACCGTATTACTCTGCATATGAGAAGGTTAAGCTTTTGTATTATTATAATGACATTGTTTTCTGTCATTTTTTCTTTTAATGCTTTTTGATGCTCCTAACAACTTTGAGAAATAGTTCATTCCTTTGTGCTTATTTGGCTCATTCTCTTTTCGACATCTTCTCATTCAGGAAGGCCGTGCACTGAGCATTCTCCGTGACACATTTCTTGCAAACGTTCCTGTGAGTGCAATTTTAGGTTATGTTTGAAAGGAAATTAGAACACTCTCCCATTCCAAACTTCATCATCCCTAAGAGCATCTCCAATTGATTGTTAATTGTAGAAATATAAAAGCAATTAAGTATAAAACGTCTCCAACCCTTAATGTCTACATGCTAATCACAATGGCGTGGCTGGAAAGACAAGGAAAAAAGTCTAGCACTCCTTCTACATCTGGAAGTTGTATCAGACATGATGACTCTGATTTTCTTCCACTCCCTTCATTTGTTTTCTTATTTTATAATATAAAATAAATGGATAATGTGAAAATAAAACTCAACCACTGGAGACTTTTGTGTATAAGATTAAACTTCTATTTGTTCTACATGGATGAAACACCTTCTACATACCCTCCAATTCATGTTAACGGTTGGAGATGCTCTAAACCGAATTTACCCGAAATACTTTCACAGGTGCGTCAAAATAATTTTCGTCCAAAATGCATATACGTTGCTGTAATGTTGAGGCGCATGATGGAAGCAATCTTAAACAAGGATGCAATGGATGATAAGGTACGGTAGCTCATTCCTAGTGCTGGGAGTTTTTTTTTTTTTTTTTAAAATAACTTAGCTAAATTATTTAAGGCTTTTTGATGTTACTTTTTACTTTTCTTCCAAAATGCTGGATTGTATTCCATGTTGCTCCATCATACATGTGTGGTACTTACTCCATAGGTGAACCATATGAAAAGATGTATAACAATTCTAGGTTAATTTATATGTGTGTGTGTGTGTGCACACTTCATAATAATGATACTCCATAGGAGAACCATTTGAAAAGATGTATAATGATTCTGAGTTAATTTAATTTATATATATACAACAAACAACAACAACATACCCAGTATATTCCCAACTGTTTGGGGTCTGGGGGGTCAGTTGTACACAGACCTTGCCCTTGTAATTATACAAGGAGGCTGTTTCCGTAGCGACCCAAGGTGCATTGCGTCGTTTGATATATTTTTTTTTCTAGAAACTTCACTAATAGAAGAAGCACTAGAATTTAATTGAGCCATTTTGATTTAGTCCATTATTAGTACTATGCCAGGAGAATTGTCAACAATGACTCTTCCTGCTCCATTTAATTTATAAATATACTTCATAATAATTATTTTCCCAGTAAAAGAATACTGTGAGTGAACATTGGACATGTCTTTTTGTTTCAGTATCAGAATATGCTATAGCAGTAACTGTTTAAATATTTTCATGTGTATTAGTGGATGTCTTATGCACTTGTTTAACTTTTGTTTAAGTGAATAAGATGTTTGTTTCTTGGAAAAAAAAATGACTTATAAGCTCCTTAAATTGTTTCGTTATAGTTTCTCTTAAAGAGCTTTCTGGATTTTGAAAGCTATTTTAACAATCACATTATTGTTTTTAGTTACTAATCTACCATTGCTGGAATCTTGAAAGATCTATTATCGATATTCATCTACATGCATCAAGAACTCATTTTTACAATGGTATCTTACATCTTATACGTATTGAAACATCTTATTATGCAAACGATCTTTTAGGGCTTAGCTTGTTTATGGAATAATTTGCTCACTTTTTTTTTTCAACTAAAAATCTAACTCAACTTTAACTCAACCCACTATCTTTAATATTATTCATATAATTAAATAATACAAAACAATCATTCTTACATATCACATCAACTTTAATTCACTATTCATCTACTCACATAATTTTAACTACCTATCATTTCTAATCATTTATCTCTTACTTTTACATCAAATCAATTTTAATCATTTTATTTTAAATATTATTTTAATACATTCTTAAAATTCCACTAACAACTAACCATACCACCTTTTCACAATTAACTATGGTTAACCAAAATAACTCATTTTGCACAAATTATTCCATAAACAATCAAGCCCTTAGCTATTTTATATAGATTTGGCCAACACCTCCTAGTCATCCCACATAAATTTGTGAACTTGCTCGAGTGATGCTTTGAAAAGTTGTATCTGATTAATATTTGGTTGAATCACAATTTTTGTGCGCTTTAATGCCAATAGCGAACAATTTTTGTTACTAATAGAACACATCATATAAAGACTACCAATAGTGTCACTTTGCTTTTCATCATATTTGGTCTAGTTAGGCGTGTTTTGCCAACCCTTGAGATACTTAATTTGATTCATTATTGTAGGATTATGTGGGGAACAAAAGATTGGAACTGTCTGGCCAAATGTTGGCCTTACTTTTTGAGGTATTTTTACAGCATTTTGTTTGTTCAGTGTTAATATTTATTAAGATTGGTTATTATTTTCTGCATTTTGTATTTAGGATTTATTCAAGACAATGAATGATGAAGCCTGCAAAGCAATTGATGAGAACTTAACAAAGCGACTGCTTTCTAGTCGATTTGACATTTCTCAGGTTTGCCCTAGTATTGAGGTTCAGTCAACATGGTAATATAAATAAGTGATTGGAAGTTTCTAATTCTGATTTTGGGTTTATGACTTTACGTAGTTGAGGTGTTTACTGATGCACCCTAATATCATCGATTTATCGAGTTCGAGTCTAAGCGACGAATCTGAATGAAAACCTGCAAATCCACAAATATAAATAGGAGATTGGAAGTTTTAAATTCTGATTTTGGGTATATGTAGTTGAAGGTGTACTATTTATCTTGAACAAGCAATGCTTCGAATCTATGCGACGAATCTGAATGACAACCTGCAAATCCACAAATGTGGTCCACATCATACCATACCAATCCATTTGTATATTATTTTGGAGTTGGATTAGGATTCATTGAGATTTTAAGTCATGAAATCCTCAATCTCGGGTGTTGAGATCTACATGAAAAATAAGTATCCTTGTTTTATGTAGCCGAGTAGGATTGTGATCGTGTGCCTTTTTGCTGTCATGCTGTGTGTTGTTGCATTTAGTTCTACTACCGTTTAAATGTAACGTAGTAGTGCTACAGCGCCCATATAAATACACGGATGTTAATTGAAACTTTTATACTTAAAAAGTTAAAAAAATAGAATCTTTTATAGTAATTAATATTTTATTATTTTCCAATTCTTTTTAAGAAAATAGAATCTTTTATAGTGATTAATATTTTATTATTTTCCAATTAGGATATATTAGATAATGTATTTGATTTATAAAGGTAGATATAATATTTTATTTATGCAATATAGATATCAAATCGAAAATCATGATTAACTTGATATATCATATATCAAAAGTCGATTACAATTAAAAAAATTATTATGTTTTAAAATGTTTATAATTTCAAGTGTTCCATTATTTTAAAACTCCTAATAGACATGGATGAAAGTCCAAATCCATGGACTAGTTTGAACAACAAGAACTTGGCACATAGGGTTACAAAACACTAGAAATCGACACATAGGATTACGAAGCTCCAGAAGTTGACACGTAGGTTTGGAAAACTCTGTATTTATATAAAGGAGGGATATAAATGAAAATAGTTCGGATTTTTACAATAAATGTCTGGACATGTCTAGTTGTTGGGTGATTATTGAAAACTAGAATCTTAGTACAAAAGGTCTTGTTAGGAGATGATTGAAAACTGTCATAAATAATTGTAAAAAATCATATGGAATTTTGCTTAACTGTTTTGAAGAAATTTTGACCACTGTTCCTGGTCCATTTCACATAGCGTAGGATGTCTTGGTATTCACATTATTTTCTTTCATCATTCGCCATTGAATGTGTTAAGTGTCACTTGTTTTCTTTGCCATGTTGCTATCTTAGAGTTGAGAAGGCTGTTAATGGAACTTTAGTTTGAGTGGTGTGTGTTTGATTTGCTATCTTATTATGTATGCCTAAGTTGATTGGTTCCTTACGTTGTTTTAGACTGGATGGGCTGGCTGATTACCGACTAAGCTCCTGTTTATTGTTTATTTAACAATGCTAAGTGCTGAAGTTATTGAGTTCCTCTTAGGGTTTGCCAGTTCCGTTCTCACTGTTTACTACTTTGTTACACATTTTGGTGGTTAGTAGACACCGAATTCAATTCTTACACAAAAACTTACATTGAACTAGATAACTGCCTTTCTGTTATCTTGTTTTGGTTTTGTCTTCTCTGATCTCACTTAAGATAGCCTCCATTACTTTAGATGTTCCTCTTGCAACTTCACAATAAGGTTATCTGTTGTAGTATGATTGGCACTTGTATCATATGTTTATTATTATGATCTTTTTGTTGGTTTAGTGTTGCATTTTGTGGTTTCTTTTCTTTAGTCATTTTTTTTTTTTTCTTCTTTTACTCAGTATATTGTGAAAGATAGAATCACGGTTGGTCTAGAAAGATCCCTTTCTACTGGGAATTGGGATGTCAAAAGATTCAGGATGCACCGGAAAGGAATGACACAGGTACTTAAGACATTGATGTTTCTGCTTTTCCTCATTGCTGCTTTTATGTTTGTCCTGAGATTTTACATACGTTTAAGTAAAGGGTGAGCGTGAACTTTCTTTGTTTCAGGCTGTACAACGACTTTCATACATAGGTGCTTTAGGTCACATGACAAGAATCTCACCACAGTTCGAAAAATCTAGGAAAGTTAGTGGACCTAGAGCATTGCAACCGAGTCAGGTAACGGATATATCCTGCATGCTATCATTCTACGCATTTGTTCATTTCTCAGTTCTGTTCCAATTTCATGTCTAGTCTTACTAAACCCTTTCATCTACAGTGGGGCATGTTGTGCCCCTGTGATACTCCAGAAGGTGAAGCTTGTGGATTGGTGAAAAATCTGGCTCTGATGACTCATGTTACAACGGATGAAGACGAAGGGCCCCTCATGTCTCTGGTATATAATCCTCTATTGATGGTTTATTGCCTTTTGACCTTTTTTGAAATTTTTGTTTGTTTGTATTTTTTTTTATTTTTTTTTTTTAAATGTTATGAAAGTTCGATAGTTGCACTTACTTATCCAAGAGTTCAATGTTAATCTGCGGTTCATGTTTAAGTTTTATATTGCACAGCATGAATTTCTTACTATTTCATTATAGGGGCAAGAGTAGATGCATAAGATATCCATTATTATCAAGTCGAGTCATTTTGATCGTGGTGTTAAGCAATATCTGTTGCATTCTTTTGCCACCTTATGATCTGGCTATCCAATAGCATAGGACTTGTAGCGTTCTTTAACTTTGTGCTTAGTTAGGGAGGATAGGTTTATGGAGTTGAATCCATTAAAGGCTATAGACCTAGCTTAGGAATTTCAGCGAGCTATACTCGACCGAAATCAGCATGAAAATTACTGCTCAATTATTGTAATGTGAATCAACTCCACTTATTGTAATATAAATGCCCTGCTATTTGAACCACTGTGTTTGAGTGACATCTAAATTAAAAGTATAAACAATGGTCACTGTAAAAGAAACTAAATAGCCTAATCTAATGGATTGTCAAAAATCCGCCACGCCATACCGCCATGGCCCCGCCATTTGATAACACACTGATATACGCTAACAAATATATACATTATATACATTAACATCCCCCTCAAACTGAAGCATTTATATTAGTAATAGTGCCCAGCTGGGTACAAATGTTGTTCATCCATACCCGGTTCACTGCTTCAGTGAATACGTCTTCGAGTTGGTCTTCTGATTTAATATATTCTATGGGAATGGACCCTTCTTCAACTTTGCAATTCGCTGGAAGATTAAGCGCCAACCCAAGCTCCCTTAGTAAGTGATGTATTCACACTATCTGACATGCATAATCAACCATACATTATATACACTTTGCCTCAACAACTGACGAGAAACATTTTGTTTCTTGCTTGTGTAGGAGACAAGATTACCTTGAACCAGGGTAGTCAACATTATTTTGCTTCTATTAACCTAGCGGAATGACCATGTTGAGCTTCTTTTAGATGACTCAGAGTTTGCTTATGAAGAGCCCAATAACAATTAATCTGAGCAGACATAAACCGCCTTGCACCGTATACTGCAAATACTATGTCAGATATAAACTGTCTTGCAACATCTACTGCAAATTCTATGTCAGGACATGTTACTGTAAGATGATTCAAGTTCCCCACAAGATTTCTTTCTTCTTTGCAGTATCTCGACCCCTAGAAAATATAGCTAGGATGCAAGTCTTTTGTCTAACAAGGTGCATGAAAGAATAATTCAACCCTGAAATTCCATCACTATCATTTCTCATCAGTGATTAAAATGGCCTCACTAACATGAGGCATGTCGTGGCCCCTTGCACAAGGCGCCGCAATGGCGCGCGCCTCGTAGAGCTGAGGCGATCGTTCGGGGTATTTGGATTTCTTGTCCTATTTCTATATAATACATAGTCTCCAACGAAACCTTAATAAATTTGTGCCTCTTTCTTTACCTGATCGGGGCGATGGTTGACGTCGATGGCCATCGCGATGACTTTATTGACAATTGTGTCCGTCTCTTTCTTTCTTTTCTATTTAGCTGTCTTTGTACCTTTTTTGTTCCGATATTCCTTTTCTTTTCTTTCTTTCATTCCTTTTAAATTTCAATTTTTGGCAACTACCAAGCCTCCAATTAATCCTTGCGTATGTAAAATCCTCCAATTAATCCTTTCTGCTTTGTCTTTTCGTGTTTTCTTTCTTCCAGAACCCATCCCTCCTTCCACCCCTTCTCTTTCCTTTTATTTATAATTTTTTCATGAGTGGATTGTTGAAAAAAGGGCTGCTGTCAAAACTGAAGGCACTATTTATTTGGACTGATATTTTTTATTTTTTGTTTTTTTTTTTTTATTTTTATTTTTTTTTTATTTTTCAACTAAAGAATAAATAAGTCATGTGTTGTCCATAATACATTATGTTTTTTATTGCCTCGCCTCGCTTTTTATAAGGCGGGTTCCTCGCCTCACGCCTCGCACCATCACTAATAGGAGGCTTGTCGCCTCCGGTCGCCAAGCGCCTGTTTAATCACTGATTTACATCTTAGTAAACCATATTTCAAAATGATTTGACTGAATCTGTGTCAATTCAAGCTCGAGGATTTATCTTCAATCGGCCTTAAGGATTTACTAGGCCCACATACCTTCCCATGCTCCTCCAGAGCAACACCAGGTGGTTGCTCCATATATACTTCCTGAAGGAAACCATGAAGAAAAACATTTCTAACATTAAGCCGGACAGAAGAAGTTAAACAGAAGTACATTCAGCCACGAGAGGAAGTCTGAGAATTATCAGTGCCATATATGCGTAAACTTTAGCAACCACAGGAGCTTTAAGATGAGCCAAAGAGCCGTCCAGATTTACTTTAACCGCAAACACCACTTACACCTAATCGCCTTGTTGCCAATAGGTATATCGTTTAAACTTTAAAGTCAATTTGCCATTTCCTCAATCATAGCAGCAGGTCAGAATGGACAAAACTTCACCAACAGTGTTAGGAATAGAAATAGAGGTGTAATCTATATTCGGAATAAATGAATGTGAAGGGGAAGATAAATGATAATAGAAAACAACAGGGATATTTGATATGTACATCAACATCTATCTTTCCTGAGAGCAATTGGAAGGTCATTGATGGTAGATGGTTCAGGGGTTAGGTGGATTAGAAGTACGATCTTTCATCGAAACTGCAGACAATAGATATGAAGCTGAGTCTGCGGGAACCTTTGGAGTTGAAAGTGGCATCTAAGTATAAACTTGAGTAATGAGGGCACAAGTGATAGGGCTAAATGGAGGAGACTTTTAAAGAGGGGACTTAGGTGCAGGAAAAGAATTTACTAAAATATTTTCAAACTCAATGAGACACTGAAGAAGGAAAAAAACGACAATATTTGTTAAAGGTAACATCTCTAAACTCAATATAGCGCCAAAAATAAAAAAAACACATTTGAGGGCTTTTGGGTCTGACTTGGTGAGATGGGCCTAGTATCCCATACAAAACGTGGACTACAAAAGAGTTTGGTTTCTATGGGAAAATTTTTTTTGGATATGAATGGAGAAAGAAGGGTATTAAGCTAAAACAATAGAGGGCAAGTGCCGGTGTGTGAGACCAGTGTTTTCAGGTCGGCTGGTCGAACCTGGTCGACCAGGGACCGACCAGACGATTAATCGTGATTAATCGTCGACCAGCTAGATTAATCGGGCTGGTCGAGCCTGGCCGTCCAGGTATTTTAGGACATATCCTCTATATATATATACCTCTATATATACTATATTATAGACAATAAAGGAAGCATCAAGACTGCATTAGTGCCTTACTTGTGGGAGTTGTTTTCTGCACATACCATCGTCGGAGTAGCTCATCATGCAGACTGGGACTGCAAGAGAGGAGGCAAGAGGGCTCCCTGTCCTTGCTGCTCACCAGAGTGCAAGAGAGGAGGCGAGAGGGCTCCCTGTTTGTCCCTACTGCTCCAGACTGACAGAGAGGAGGCGAGAGAAGGGGAAAAGCGCGGGGAAGGGAGGAACTCGCGCGGGAAAGGAGGAAAGTGAGCGCGGGAGACGGGGAAAGTGGAGTGTGGGGGAAAGAATTGCAGCCGTCAGCTGTCCCTGGCTGCCTCCTTCCTATATATATCCTAACCCTAACAGGCTAAACAGGCCAAGCCCAGCAGCCCACATACCAGCCCAAAAAGACAAATATATGTTTTGGTCGTCCATATGCCCTGGTCGGACGATTAATCTTACGACCAGGTTTCTGGTCGAGCTGGTCGGGTCGAACCTCCTAATCAAGCACTTGGGAGCGACCAGGACGATTAATCACGATTAATCGCGATTAATCGGACGACCTAAAATCAATGTGTGAGACTGGCTATAGAAACTCCGACGGTGCGTCTAACTTATACGCACAGACTCCAACGGAGAAACTTGACTAGAAGGTCGATCTGACATTGGCGTGTGGAGGTGGGAGGTCAGACCTATAATGCACTTTAAAATGGATTCTTACGAGCAATAGAGAAACAACCAAAAGATGATATTTTTTTAAACTTTTCTAGAACTGGCTCTGATACAATATAAAGTTGAATAAACTGATTGTATTCATTATATTCAAGGCTAGAATACAATATACAATGATATACATATATATATATATTATATCTATATATCTATATCTCTCTCTCTCTCTATATATATATATATATCTATATTAGTCGAGGAGCAAACCATATAAAGAAAATAAATCAAATAGTCTAGTCCACAGGATTACAATATTTTACTAATTGATACACTAATATATACCATATATACATTAACAAATCTATATCATATATACGTTAAGACTATATTTAGTGGTGACCCGTTCCATTGGGTCACCAATTAAAATGTAATAAAAAAATGAAAAAAAAAGAAAAATTAAATATTGGGCCAAAAGTTGGCGACCCAGGTCACATTGTGACCTTGGGTCGCGACTTTTTATTTATTTTTTTTTTTAATTTCATGCTTTTTAGAGAAAGGAAAGAGGAATGGGACACTTGTCCCATTTCCATTGGTTTTTATAAATATTATATGTTAACATAACTATAATTTAAATTATAGATATTATTTTATGTTAAAAAATAAAATAAAATATATCAAAATTCATATTTTTTCATTCTCTATAAATAGAGACCACTCTTGATATATTTTGGAGCACAATTGAAATTATTATGTTGAGTTGAATTGTAGATAAAATAATAAAAAAATAATATTTTGTATATAATATTAAATAAATAATAAATAAAAATAAAATAAATATTATATTTGGTTGGGTTGGGTTGGGTTGGGAATAAAGATATGTAGGTTGTTAAAAGTTGAGTTGTGTAAGTGTAGGAGAGAGAAATAATTTTTAATTGTTATGTTGGGTTGGGTTGGGTTGGGGATAAGGATAGTCTAAGAGTCATTTACTTCGTTATTTGTGGATGTGTGGCAGTGTTACTCTCTTGGTGTAGAAGACTTGGAGTTACTTTCTGGTGAAGAACTTCATATGCCAAACTCCTATTTGATCATATGCAATGGATTAATTCTTGGAAAGCATAGGAAGCCACAAGTATGATTTTATAACTGTCACTCGCTCTTTTATTTCTTTCTCTGACTAATATATGTATATTTTGTTTAATTTTAGAGATTTGCCAATGCAATGAGAAAACTGCGCAGGGCTGGTAAAATTGGCGAGTTTGTGAGCATTTTTGTCAATGAAAAGCAGGTGACTTATTGTACCTTGTGCTTATGTACCATTTTATATGAATTTCACCTTTGTATGGCAGACATAAAGCTGTCATCTAGTCTGTTGTTGATCCATGGACATTTGTGTTATATTAGTGGGAATAACTTGAAAAAGCCCATTGTTATCGACCATGTAAAATGGATGTTAAATGGATACTGTGGTGCTTCCTATGTTGGAAATTCAATTGCATAATGATCTTCTAGTAATATTGCAGAGCTACCGAAGCATATATTCCCAATTCAATTTGTGATTTTCTTATTGTCACCATTCTCTTCGGACTTGGTTTTTGCAACTTATCTCTAGTCAGTTATCCCTCCTAACCTTCATATCTTGTTTTATGTGTTAATCTTTTTTAGATGTATGGAAAGAAAAAGCACCATTATATCTGAGATCCTAAATCCTCTTGCAGCGTTGTGTTTACATTGCTTCAGATGGTGGACGTGTTTGTCGTCCACTTGTCATTGCAGACAAAGGTGTGTCAAGGATTAAGGAGCACCATATGAAGGAGTTAAAGGTAAATTGGCATCAGTGATGCTCAATATATCCTTTATTCAGGTCGTACTGATTAAATTTGTGATGCTGATTGCTGAAGGATGGAGTGCGGACATTTGACAGTTTTCTGAAGGAAGGCTTGATAGAATATCTTGATGTCAACGAGGAGAACAACACTTTGGTTTGCATCTATTTCTTGAATTTATGGTTCTTTTTTCTCTTTGTGGTCAGTTGTACTGTCTCACGGTAAATATCCTGTTAGATTGCTTTATATGAAGAGAATGCTAAAGAGGTTACAACGCATATTGAAATAGAGCCTTTTACCTTACTGGGTGTGGTTGCTGGGTTGATTCCATATCCTCATCATAACCAGTCGCCAAGAAATACATATCAGGTATACCTTAAATGCTTTTTTGGTCTAGATGGATTTGGATGACCTTATATTAGACGAGTCTTACTATTCATCTTATTGATTCCATTTGAACTTTGAAGTGTGCTATGGGAAAGCAAGCTATGGGAAATATCGCTTACAATCAGGCAAGTTATTTTGTCTACCTGAAGTTGATATTTTATGTGTATATATGATAACAAAAGGAAAAGATGCAAATGTACTTGATCTAGCAGTTCCTTCTAAGCCTTAAAAACGTCCGAAAAAACCTGCTACGGAACTACTGGAGACTCCCCGGCCTATAAGACACTACACACCTAGCCAATCTCGGACATGCGACAAGAGAGGGCTCCCTAATTATGCTCAGCAGATATAAAAACAAATGATAGTATATTTACACATTGCCTTTCCATGGTTCTTATGAAATCAGAGCTCACTGATATTGGACACATGAATATTGGTCATAAATATGGTTCAACACGTGCTTGTGACATTACATGCAGCTCCGCTATTTGTATCTCCTACTTTCCAGACCAGTTGTTTGAATGGAGTTTATGACAATTGAATTGAAGACTTTTTGATGCAAATGCGATGTGACTATTTTGGCAAATAATGAGTAGTTTTTGTTGGTCAAACCTTTTAAGTTTGCCATGGCATTTGAGTATCTTATGTTTAATTAGTGTGAGGTCGCTTGACAATCGATAGGAGGGATAAATGAGTTAGCTTGAAAGCCGCATTGTTCTTTAGGACTCTTGTCGCCTAATTTGTTATTTAGTCTCCTGGTGTAGGGTTTGAATTTGGGAATGTGAAACTACATTAGTTAATCTGTTGGTTGACAAGTTATGTTCAAACTTAACATGTCAAATAATCTGCATCGCTTTTGCATTTCAGGATCGTTAGGTTTTATTCCACATCTTTATTCTGGAAACTTGGAAGTTGTCTACAATGCACATCTTTTTCCATTTAATTTCCGCTGTACCTTAAGGTTGCAGATATTCGATCTTCTTATTATCGTAGTTTTTATTTGCAGTTACGTAGGATGGATACTTTAATGTATCTTTTAGTTTATCCGCAACGACCACTACTAACAACACGAACAATTGAGCTGGTTAGTGAATCCTAAGCATTTTTTATTTAACAAGCATGTAACTTGTTGATATTTATTTTTAACTACCTTTGACTTTTTCTAGGTCAGCTATGATAAACTGGGAGCTGGACAAAATGCAACTGTTGCAGTTATGAGTTATAGTGGCTATGACATAGAGGATGCTATAGTGATGAATAAATCGTCCTTGGATCGTGGTTTTGGACGTTGCATTGTCATGAAAAGGTACTGCCCTATTTTCTTGATTAGTTATGAAGATTATTTGCTTAACTAGTATGAATCCTGTGCGATGCACGGGTAAGAGATATTTATTAATATTTATAAATTAAAAATTTATATTAAATAATATTTATAAATTAAAAATATGAAATCAATATATAATATAATTTACCTGTATTAATATATTGAAAATGTTATATGAAACTTTGTCCAAAATTACATAAAATATATCTATTTAAAATTAGTACACAACCCGTACAGTGCACTGATAATAAATTAAGTTATACTCATTTCAAAATAAGTATCATTTTAAAATTTTTATTCAAAAATCCATTTAACTACAATGTGATTCCATAAAATAATTATTTTTGTACAATTTTATCATTTATTTATAAATTTGTGTGAATAAGATGAATAATTATGAAACTTATATGATTTCATTAATTAAAATAAATTTATTTTATATAAATAATCCAAAAAAATAAGTTTTTCTATAAACTATTCAAATCAAATACTTCAAGAACTTGAATAATTTATTAAACTATAAATAATTGACTATATCATTTACCTCAAACTTGATATTGACCCGTAAGTTCTAAATAATTACTTATTTTAATTTTAAATTTGGAACTCAAATATGGACTCACAATAAATTTATATATATATATATAAATATATATATATATATATATATATATATCATCTCGAAATTTTCTATTTTTATTGTCGGATACCTTATTGTTCAAATTTATCTACTAATTCTCAAAAATTAAATTACAACATTTAAATTTTATTAACTAATATTTGTTCAAATATCTTTTTGATTGTAACAACACATTTCCTACCAGAAAAATGGTCAATCATATATCTCAAATAATATCGCTCACTTTATACCAAAATCAAATTTATCAAATTTTGTCAACTTTATACCATAAAATGATTAATTAATTTCTAGGGCCGAGCTTTTTTGAAAATTTTAAAAAAAAATTAGCAAGTTTAATAATTTTAAAAATTTTATGTGCTATTTTAGTTTCTATTTCATGTCAATACAAACTTATATATATATATATATATATATATACTCGATAACTATTTTTTGAAATAAATATTAGTTTAGTTTTTCAAACTTTCATGTAATAATCTATTTTGAAATTTTCATTATTAATTAATCTAAAATACATAAAATCATGGTGTTATTACATTCATGCTATTTAATTGCTACATGAAGTTTGCCAAATATATATGATATATATGTACATATATGGATATCTTGAGATACAACATAATTTTTTTTTTTGTGATTTATTACCTTAATAAATCAGCCGCAATTACCTAAATTGTACATTTAAAATATACCATAACATGTTTAA